ATCATACAGAAACTGAACCCAGGGCTGGAGACAAGAATGCGACACACTGAGATAATTTGGAAAGGTTTCTTTTAAACCTGAATCCTGAGGGTGTAATTCAAGGGGTGCACACCCTGAAGTTGGTCTGTGCTGCTGATCCAAACCCATCACCCAGGGGAGCACACTCACTGCTCAGTGCACTGCTCTGGCACTGCTTTAATTACTTCAGCCATAAGTAACGACTGTTTAATAAGTGAAAGGTAAGTGGAAGTGATGCAAAGGCCATCACTCCCCTTCTCCTGTGGGCAGAGCAATCCCAGCATGCTGGCTAAGCTCCCCAAATCCCCTCTTTTGCCTCTTAGTTATGTGGTACCGACCATCCCTCCAGTCAGTCTGGGTCTGCCTGCTTGTGTCCCCTGCCAATCTACTGCACACCCCCAACAGATTCACTGCAGGGGCAGAGTGAGGAACAGGGAAGGCCTTGATGCTCTGCAAACACTGCTCAGCAACAGCTCCAAGATCAGTATGTTATCAGCATTGTTTGGGTAAAACCTAAACCACGGCACCGTATGAACTGTTATGGAGAAAATAAACCCTGTCCCAGCCAGGGCCATCCACAAGTTGTGACTGCAGTGTAGGACAGGATCAGCAATTTCAGTGATATGAGCAACAAAACTTCAATCCACAGACCTGTTGTTCCAGATACTCTTGAAGAGGTTTAGTGCTTCTTGGAGCCGATTGGTCTGATTGTCCTCTCGTATAACCATGTTGTAGCTACTGCTCGCCACCACGAATATGATAGCGGTGACATCTAAACCAAGAAACACCCTTTGGTTAATACCAAACTTCAGGAGAAACAGCCAGGAATCCCAAAGTTCTATAAAAAAGTGTCAGACTTCCAGCTCCACGCGGAGCACAGGCTGGGATGCTGCTGCTGGCAGCTTTCTAAGTACCAGAAATCAACAAAGAAAGTGAAGAGACCATGGAAGACAGACAAGTCAGGGCCCAGAGCAGAAGCTGACAGCATGACAGAAAATGTAGAAAAGGAAGGAACTGAAGCAAGAGGGACAAACTGAAGAAAGCCAAGAGGAGAATTTAAAGAAGATTTAAAATGTGTAAAGAAAATCAGAAACAACTCCAAGCTGTCAGGAAAGGACAGGGAGGCCCTTGGGAGAAGACCTCAGGACAAAGAGCACTTGTGATTTGTGTGAACAGTAATAATGACAGTTGAATTCATGGTTAATTGCTTCAGTCCCCTAGAGTGTGCTATACTTGGAGGTCTCTCTCTTTCCTGGGAGGTATTCCCAGGATCACAGAATCCAATCTCTGTGTTTCTGTGCTGCTCCAGACTCTTTACACTGACTGACTTCCAGGCTCATCTACCTCAGGCATCAGCAGCAGAAGAGATGAGTCAGACCATGAGGTAACAGGAAGAGGAAGGAGCAGAGGTAAAACCCAAACAAATCTGTTATTAATAGCACAGGAGAAAATACTGCACAGTAGTTCCACACATATACACATTGTTCAGGTGATACTCTGATAGCAACTGCAGCAACATACCATGAATTTCAAGTTGCATTCTAATTATTTATTCTGTAAGATCTCAATGTAACTTTTCTACAAAAAGATGGACTTTTGCATAATTTCAACAATATTTTGTCCAAACAATGAAGGGAAAAAAATCCACTACCTCTAGCTTCAAGAAAATGTGTGGAGAAAGGTTTCATATCTAAACAAGATACCAGAGTGAAAAACAGCTGCAGTGAGGGTACTTGTCACACTTCAGGACAGGCACAAAACTGCCTAATTTCAATTGTGTGGCAGTTCAAAACACTGACACCTGAACTAAACTGATGGGGACACTGGTGTTGAGAGACTCCAGATCTCACCATATGTGACACCAGGTCTAACCAGACAGATCTTCCCAACAGCCTCACTCTGCATTACTGGGTCAGTGCTGATTTGGAAAGAAGCACCATGGCATAGCAGTGTGGCTGCAGTTATATCCCAAAATATGATATTCTGATTTTGTGCATATAATAATGATCCTGTAGTTCTATATTTTGCACACACATACAAACCTTCATATGGAAGACAGAACATAGTTGGAATTTACACTCACAAATGTGGCAAATAATGCACAATGCCACCCCCAAAAAATCCCTAATTAAATGAAGAGAGAAAAGCCAGACAAAATGGACAAGTTTGAGTTATCAAACTTTAACTCCTCTCCCTCTTCCTGAAGATGCTCTATGCAGTTACAGAAGTGTACATGTAAAAAAAAAATCCAAACCTTCTGACTGTTCAGGTAACTCCTTATCAAACTACATGGAAAAGATGGTGGCTTTCACACAGTGAGAAAATGCAGACTGGGCATTACAGCCTCGCAGAGAACTATTTTATAAAGCAAACAGAAATTCTGATCCTACCATTAAAACACTGGATCCATTTCCGGCGTTCATCTCGTTGCCCTCCAACATCAAACATACTGAGAAAAAACAAACACATAAATCCAGTCAGGATACACTTTGTGTTGGTTTGTTTGTTTGTTTGTTTGTGTCTTTATTTTTGTTTTCCCTCCCCAAATGCAAATAGAAAAGGTGAGAAATTTTAGGACTTCTGTGGCACAGAAGCTAACAGGAATCAAGGATGACGAGAACCTGAACAGGTAAACAGTCCACCAAGGTATGTACACAGAGGTAATGTGTTTTATACCATTTTGTTCTTTGCAATTTAAAATAAAGAAGAAAACTGCACACCAATTTGCATTTCCTTTTCAAGCCAGACTACTAAATTAAAAAATCAGAACATGCTTGTTTTCTACTAAATATCAACCTGAGAAATACAGAAGTCTCAATGACTGTATGGTAGGCTCTCCTTCAATTTACCATAGTATTTGTCTGTATTGTATTACGAAATAAAAAAAAACCAAAATAAAAAGAAAAAATAAGGATACTTACTGAAAATTTACTTTATCCACCTGAAACTTGGTTTCAAAAATTCCTGATGTCAAAACTCTGCATCTGAGAAGATCCTAGGGCATAAAGGGAAAGTCATCGATTCAACACAGATACTTTGTAATTTTTCAATGGAAATAAACCCCTTTTACTCCATGCTGACAGTGGATGCTGCACTGCAAAACCAGGGAACAGCATTTGAGTGTTAAGTGACACAGGGTGTGATGTAGGTCTTGTAAGTCAGATTTCACAGCCATTTATATGTATAAACATAATCCAAACAACAAAGCAATTTTTACTGGACACTAAATATACACAGGGCATGGCAATACCCGTGTTAGTGCCACAAATGGAAATTATAAAATGAGAAGAGTTGTCCCCAAAGCCGACGGGGAGCAGATAAATGGTGTTATTACTTTACATACCTGGTCAGACGGGGTGTACTCGTTCTGCTTGACTATGTCAATCTTGTCTAGAAAACTGGGGAGAGGAAAGAAAAAAAAGAGAAATTGTCATTCTCAAGCAAGACAAACTACCCAATGCTTTAGTAACAGGCAGTTGCCAGGTAAATTTTGGTGTATTTTAATGCTCTCAAAATGCTGAAAAATCATACAGTGAAACTGTTCAACTTGGGTCACTGGTCGTGCTTTCCCAGCACGAGCCAGCAGAGGGCCGAGCGCAGTTTTAATTAATCCATCTGGGAATCTCAACTCCAGCCCCTCCCGCCGGCTCCCTCCACCACAAACACACCAGGAGTTTAATTTAGGTCATTTATTCCTATAAATCCTACACTATAACCTGCTACTGCTCAGGGTAAGGCAATGACTCAGGTAAATTGCCTACGTGTAGTCTTCCTGAAAGAAAAACAACTATTTTTAAACAACTTATCATCACTGTAATTCTTTAAATAAATGAAATCCCAAAACCAATTTCAGCACAAGTCCAGTTAAGTGCAAGGGAATACTGATTTTCCTGTCAATTCTTTATCAGTGTTTCAGTTTACTTTCTGGAGCAGCAGCAGCAGCCGTAGGCTAAATGGGTATTAAAACATATATTTCATTCAAATTCATTAGGTATCACCTGAAGAGGATACCCTGGAGTCTTTTAAATTTTTTTACCAATTAACTATAACCTCCTAATTATCTTTCTCTTCCATTCAAAGAGCAAAAATCTCAAGGAAGCAACTCGTTAACTCTGTTTTATTGTGGTGTTACTACGAGACTCGAAGACGTGGCAAAGCGGCAGCTCGGGATGCAGATTTTATGGTGTTTGCCCCCCAGTCCCACCGTCCAACACCAGGGACACAAAGTGCTCAGCCACCTTCCACCTCAGCAGTGCCTTTACCCATCACATTAATGATTAATCAGTCTTTAAACCAATACACTTCAAGTTCCCTTTGAAATTCCTTCGCATGAATTGTTTTCTCTCTGAAGCAGAAATCACAAAGGAAAGGTGAGTTTTCCCTTCTCTCAACGTGCATTAACTACAGCTACAGGCAACAATTCCAAGGGGGTAAAGGGAGCCACGTCCCAGATCTGTGAATCGAAAACTCAACCCCAGTAACACCAGCACAGGACTCAGCCCTCAGTCCCAGCCCCCTCTGCCCAACTGATTTCCTAAAACACCTAAGGAGGAGCAGGGGAAAGGGGGAAATAATTGTATATTTTAACAACTTCAGTGTAATGTCCTTTTCACCAGGAACTAGACGATCTTGTTTCAGACACACATGAAAACTAATTTTTCTTTACTCTGAATGACAGAATTTTAAACACATCAAAACAGATCTTAATAAACACTCCACAGAAACCAGGAGACGAAGTGCAAAGATCCATTTCCATCCTGCAACGTGACACGGGGACAGACATGCAAGGATTAAACGATGACAAACTGTGCTCTGCAATTTGCAAGCGGGATTTTTTCCTCATCTATTCCAGGCTGTTAAGTAATTTATTTTTTTTTTTTAATCCGAAGGGAAGAAATAAAACTCTTTGTTCAGTACCCAGAGGATGTTAAATACGTGCAACAACCATGAGCTCCAACCAGCACGTGTTTCCAGGCCATACTCTCCCCTAAGACCACAGTTTCAGAATCACGTGGCAATTTCACAAGTTGGAGGATGCTTGAAAAATGTTCTGAACAGAACATGTTCATCAAGATATACAAAGGTGATTACTGCAATGAGCCAGCCTTTCTGTATGAATTTATCCAAGCAGAACATTTTCTGCTGGGTTCCACAAGAGGTGAATTTTTGGTTTTGTTTTGGGTTGGTTTGTCTTTTTTTTTTTTTTGCTTGTTTTGTTTTGTTTTATTTTTAAACACTCTGCTAATCAGCTTAATGGATTTTGGAAACTGAAAATTAGAAAATAACAACAAGATATTGCTAAAACCTGGAACTGAAAGTACAAACCTCTTACTGTTGTTTATGCAGACTATTTTTAGGCCTATGATTTCCTTGAAAAACATCAGCCACATAGGAGCAGCAGTACTGTACTTGAGATGAATTCCAACAGCAATGTTCATGCCAGGTAAAACAAGTTCAGATGGAATAAACATTTCTTCTTCCCCCCCCAAAACAAGTTCCAACATTCAGTAACATCTGATACTCGTAACAATACTCGTTGGAGAAGGAAGTCTTTCACTGTGTGATAGTTACCAGAAACCTCCCCCTGCTTCCAGTGGCATTTTAGGGAAAATGGAGCAAAGCGATATGTTAAATAAAGGTTTCCTCCCGTGTGCCTGCTCGTAAAAGTCTGTCCCTTAGAAAGGGCTAAAGGCATTAAAAACCAGTTTGATTTTTTGCTCAGACGTAAAGAAAGGGGATTATTCTTTCAGCTGGTCAGTGGAAAAATAAATGTGTCTGTAAGGAGAAAAGAGGAGCAGAAATCTGATCCAGTCTGATACACCTAAAATAAGGAGCAACAGTGGGAGTTCAGAAAAGATCAATACACTGTGTTCAGAGACTTCTCAGTCAATGTGAGTCAAGACCAAACAATTTATCCAGTAAATTAAACTAATAATCCAGTCAGATGAGAACAAAGCCTAATTCAAAATAAACACAAATTCACCATCATTAATTTCTATTTTTAATTCTTGCTATGCTCTACCCAAAACACAAGTGAGGCCACTTGAGTACTACTTTGTGTGCAGAATTCACTGCTGTGAGAGATTGTTCTAAGCCTGCTGGAGAAGTGCCCATCATCTACTGTGTCAGCAGTGAACTTACAGGGAGAAATAGAAGTGACCTTGGTGAAATAATTCAAATAAAACTGTCAAACCACGAACCCAAATTTTATACTGCGAGCAGGTCTTGCACCGAGTTACAGAGTCAGTTTTTTGCTCCTGTAAAATTTTCCCAGAGATTATATGGAAAAGCTATTTTCCAGAAAGCAAATAATTCATTCAGCATCGCTGCCAATTCTCACTTAGGGCCAGATTCTGGACATGACTAAAAAGCAGGATCAGCTACTGCTCTGCAAAATACTGTCACGTAGTATGAGGCACTCTTGCCTGTGTTATAAAACGTTGATCCTACTGTGACACATGCTAACAAAAAAAAGAAAGAAGACTTTAGGATATTTGTAGTCAGCAACACCAAGAAGAATTATCTCTAAGATAAGCAGTAAATGTGTCTGTAATAGTAAAATGCAAGGTATTAACAAAACATTAAAACTATCTCAAATAAAAAAACACATGCCTTATTTTTGAGTCACTTTAGTTTAGCTTTGGGAAGGAAAAACACATGAGAAAGTTTTTAAACAGATCTTTGGGACGAATGAAGTGTCTTTCATTTTAAGGGTGCTCTGAGGAGACAGATTCATATAGAGAGATACACAGAGGCTTTCCTTAGCTCCTGCAGGTCAAAGTAATTAAGTCATACATATATCCCCAATTCTTTCCAAATTTTCACGAAGCCTATTATGTCAAAATCACGTCCCAATTTCACATCAAGCTATATGGCAGTACCTGATTTATTCTGGAGTTCTTTCACACAGAGAGAGTTGCTTTATCCCTGTGTGTGGGGAATTTCCTGAATGAACAGTGCTGCTGCCAGACAAAGAGCTGCAGCCTGCGCTCGTTTTCCCTCCTGGAAAGGTGTGTAACACACGGAACCTTCCACCCCAGAACCAGCACAACTCCACTGTTCAGGGAAGCCCGGGAGGGGGAACTCACACTGCCTTTCCTTCAGCATTTCCTGACAGCTTTTCCAAAAAACAGTACCTGAAATCTTACTCTCCGTGATCTGACGAAACGGTTGGCAGACTAGGATTATATTTTTTTTTTTTGCTTTGTGAAGAAGAGTTTTGTTTTCAGTCTAGAACAACACTGGAAAGGTCTCTTCAAACTTACAACACACCTATATTTGAAGAGCTTTATTTCCATCAGGTGTTTTTTTTTTCTGGTCAAGTCATAACTTGAATTAGCATACAAAATGTCTCTGTTAAAAGACACACTAAGATCTCATCTTTGGTGTCAATAAGACACTTCAAATCAAGAAATCAAAATTTCAACCCCAACTAAAGACAGTATTTGTTCATAGCCCTCAACAGCAGTACCAGATCTCCGTATTTGTGAAGTTCCTTGTCTCTGAAAGCTGTCAGGTATTTTACAGACAGTAAATCACACTCCCAACTCTCCTGCCTGCCTTCACTCAGGCTGCATTTCCTGCCTCCACCATCGCACCCGAAACGCACACCTTGCAATAACCCTGCTTTAAAGGCAGGCACTCAGGCAGTGAGTTAATTGCCCAGAGTCCCTTGAGTCAGTGGAAATTTTCATTTCCACTGAGTCATGTGTTTCTACCAAGATATTACTAAGAAACCACCAGAATATTACTAAGAATTATCAAGATTTCACTAAGAATTACAGTTGCATTTACCCTGATCACCTCTAAAACAGTCTTTCCAATTCAAGTTTCTATGTCCAGAAAGAAATTAATATTTGTTTACTGATCTCCCTAAAGACCAAACTGTGCAAATGCCCAGATTTTTATTTATTTATCTATACCTTATCAGGACTACAAAGCTAACACAACTCTCCCTAAAGTAGTTTTAAGCTGAAATTTAACTGAACATTAAAAATGTTTATTATAAACATGAGTGTACTTTTTATTTTTCAGAACAGATCGTGCTTTACTTCTACTTTACTCCCTTTTCCAGCCCTTGCCATAATCCTTTACGTTATTCATCAACAGATTTTTAAAAGCTCAGCAGTTAACTACTTGATAAATTCTTTCTTCAGCTATGCTGTTAGTATTTATGGTATCCTGAAAACCAAGGACTGTGTGAAACCAAACTTATCAGGTTTTTCTTCAAAATAAAGTTAAAAATTAAAACTGGGACATTAGTAGTCTTTTGTTTGCTGTTTTTTTTCTTTTTTAAGATATACTGATATTTTCTATTATTTGGCCGCTGAAGACACGCCACAACCACGTTACTGGATGATTGAAACTGTTCAGAAAGGCACAGCCCTTTTTTTCTGCC